AACACATCAAGTTTTTGACAGCCACGGTAACTTTTTAAGAACTCGAGATGACTGCCAGCACATACACTTAATAGCAGCTTCCCATACTTTAATCCAGAGATGACCAGAGACATTGCTCATAGCCCACTGCGTGGTGCGAGCTGTACGAGGTGTGGACCCTACCCAAGCAGCACAATACAGAAAAGCAGCTTGTCTCTCAAAAGTCATGGATTCAAGCCTGCAAGGCTGTCAAGCTAGGAAAATTTGCTCTCATCAGGGCTACCTGGCCAGGGCACTGCTACACCAGTATAACTGTATTGCTTTAACTTGTGGAGAACATGTGTTCAGCCAGATGCCATGAACTCGTGGGGGAGGAGAGTTTCCTGCACAGTCTTCAGTTAGGCAGTACAAACATACCCTCAGGTACCCTCATCCTGCCATAAAGGGAAAACACTGGTACAAGCTTACTATGTTGATATTAAAAAAAAAAATGTATCTGTACCAGCATAATATTCTTCAGAGACCCATCATTTGACTTACCAACACAAAAGCCCCATGTCAAGCAAGAAAGCCAATAATTACACAAAAGAACACTTTCCACTACTTAATTTCTAAAACAGTAAGTCATCCAAGATATGTGGAAAGACGTGAAGTGGTGAGTTCTGTAAAACTTTGTTTTACTGTACTGATGCTACTTACATTCTTACATATAAAGTACCACCAAAGCACATCAAGACTTAGAACATATTTGAAAAGGAAGTGTTTCAATAAGCACCTAAGAGAAGTACTACATAGCTAGACAAAATTACCAAGCTATCTCAAATGCAGTAACTGGACCCAGGTTTAGTTCAGAAACCATGTAATTCCAGACTAGCTGCCACCAAATACCTAGGTCTCTCTTGAAATCCATTCATAATGTAGTTAAGATTTTTCTTGGGGAGGGGGAGGAAGCGCACGTTGTATTTTTGACTGTTACATTGTTGCAGTTATAACTACCAGCAGATTCTTAAAGTTAAGCTACTTCTCCACAATTTGTGTATTTTTCTAGTTCAAGTGGCTCTAACATCTGTTACTCCATACTCCTAAAAGCTTCCACCAGTTTTGTTACGGATTTGAGAAGTTGGAGTACCAGACACTATCCTGGTGCATTAAAAACATGCCTCAGCATAAAGGAATGGACAGGCCCCACGGAGGCAAGCTGTCACTGAAACACAACCACTGTTGAACAGGAAAGTCTAAAACCCACCTGATAATGTGCGTGCACAGCTGTTAAAAAATAAAAGTGGTAGTCAACCACATAGCCACTTCAGAAAAAGCACAGAGACACTAATGCCCTTCTCAGTGAGATAAGACAGACCACATTAGTTTAATGCTTTGATTAGAAAAGCCAGAAGGAGAAGCCTGGAAGTATGCCCTTCTCCAACAAGAGCCACTTTCAGTTCTATCATAATCTACAGTAGAACAGTGATAAAACCTCATTTTTTTCATTGGAAGAAAAAGAAGACACAAAAAAATATACACCCACTACTTAGCCATACTACATATTCTACAAACTGGTGAACATTTTATGATATACATGAAGTAGTATCAAATACTAAAGAAAAAAAGAATTTCCATCTACTTTTTTTTTTTTTTAAGATAACAAACTATTTTGAAAATATTATCTGCAAAATACCTAGAAACAGAACTGTGATATACATTCCTTTAAATGCTGCTTATAGCTGTTGCAAAGAAACCCACCAAACGATCCAGAAGTGGACACCATAATGACATAACCTACAAGCTACAACTAAGGCCACTGGTATGCAGTATCAAGCATTTTAATACTATCACTGTAACTGTCAAGCTGGCCACTGTATAGAAAGCAGCATACTAACACACTCCACTGCTATTTAAACAAACCAAAAAAGAATGACCGTAAGTAACTGTTGAGGGAAGAGGAAAACAAGACGAGCATACAACAACTCCTCCTCACACTCTCACAACCTCCAGCTATTTTCAACTCGGACTTCCTGAGGCTGTTGCTCATCCACTTACTAACCTCAACGTATCTGTCATCCAATCCTTGTCCAGCCTCCCCTTAAATCCACAAAAACTTATTGTGTACACATCATATAGCAACTATACCTATGAATTTCCTACACTGAGTGAAGAACCGTCTCTTTTTGGTTGTTCTGAACCCGATCTAACTGTGTGCCTCCCATCTGCACTTGCTCTCTCCACTGGAGTTGCACAGAGCCTTACCATATCATCTCTACTAGGCTGGCAAGTCCTAGCCTGTTCAATCATTTCTCATCTAGGAACTAATTCATATATTGTTGCCCTTCAGCGAACCTTTTCCAATAATAACTCATCTTTTCTAAAATAAGGGGCAGAACAGCTTACAGTATGTAAGGTATGAAAGAACCATGGATTTATGTAATTACATATCTTTTTCCTATTGTACTCTCTACTCATCCCAGATCTTCTGATCGTTGGTTGGTCTCAGCTGTAATAACTGTATCAGGGATTTGTTTCACCTCTCCCTTCTGACTTTCATGCACACATTGCCACCAAGCAGTCTCCTCAAAATACCAATGTCCTAAACACTTGATGATTCTCTTCTTTAAGACTGGACCTAAAATACAAAACAAGCAAGATGAAAGGGTATTTTAGACTTCTGATGAAAATCAGAAGTACCACACCTTACTTACTACTTATCTAATACTACATAAACACAGAACCAACATTAACTACATTGGAGGAAGGAAGAAAAGGAAGCATTGGGGAGTTGTTTGTTTGTTCTTGCTTCTGTATTTTTAAGCACAGCACTTAAGTTTTCAGATTTGTTTCACACTTTCTACAAAGTCCTTTGATCTTACTGAGATATGTTTATTTCTGAAAAAGCTACTCATATGCAAGCAGTTTCAACAAGCTCTGCTAGCAGGAAGGTGACCTGTACTACCAGAAGCATAGGACAAGAAAAATGAAGTCAATCTGTATTGTCAAAAATACACATAGTTTGGATTAACTAGCCTTTGGGCATGTAAAATTACACCTCTTGCATACAAAAACCACAACAAATACAACACTACTATACTATGTAATTGCCCAGAGATCAGCATGTCCTTTTTTTTTTTTTTTTTGTCACTTACTTCAAGTGTTTTCCCCAGAAATTCCTTTTTTTCTAGTTCCTACCAATCTTTCTGCTCTCTCACTTTTCGAACCGTTTCACTTCTGTCTCAGCTGCAGTTACCTCCCAAATACGCTTTGGCACCAAGGCCAGGTGATGCTGTTGTGAGGAAACCACTCTGGACCGCTCCACTGAGCGCCTCTGTTCAAAACACCTCCATCAGAAATGACCATGCAGTAGTACAGCAGCGTGTGGGCCTGTCCCAAAAGCCCCTAATTTATCTTACAACAGAACCTAAATGATGCCTGCCGGGCCTGACAAACGCGCTCAGGGCACATCGACTTTCTGCAATCCTCTTTTCATTTGGATTCACCTGAGGGTAACCGTTAGCATCTCCCACTTCAACCCCATACAAAAGCCCAAAGCTTTTACGACTTGTTTCATACAGCCTAGGATCTCTTCACTAGATGGGAGTGTTCTCCTGCCAGCAAAGAAGAGGTACCTCCTACAGAGAGGCAAGGTAGTCTTAACATGAATTAACCTATCAAGCAGTCTGCCCTTACCAAGACTTTACCTTGAACATGCTAACACGCATTAGGAATACGGCTTTTTGGGGCAGAGAAAAGATGGGGAAGTGGTCTAGAACAGATCTACAAAACCTTTATAAGTGAGCACAAACATCAGTTCCTGAAGCCAACATACAAAGACTGTAATAAGCCATGGAATTTGCAAAATTCACGGACCCCTGAACCACTAAGTCATCAGCGCTCCTGTTATAACAAAGGAAAGACACACTAAACACACTGATGTCAAAGGAAGCTAGCACTTCATTAGATTGCCAATTTTATCAAACGTGACTCAATCCTCTCCTTGAAGACTAGCGGAAAGATGATGAAAACTCACATGTTTTCAGCGCTATTTCTCTGTCTGTCACAGCACGCTTTGTGTCAGAAACTACACCTCCCTCCTCTTCAGGCACTGAAAACAAGCCACCGTACAACATCTTTTTGGAAAAGGCCTTGAAGGGGAATATCAGAGTAAGAGCTCAGAGGCTCATTAACAAAATCCAGACTTTGAGTCATCTGAAGGGAGGGGAAATTACAACTGTGGAACCACATGTATTTTTCAGTAGCACAGGAAGTAAGGCAACACATGTCTGCTTTACTTCGCCACCGGCCCGGGAAGGAAACGAACCCAAGCTCGGTAGTTTTATCCATCTCCCCCCACCAACACTCCCACCCCCCCCCCAAAGGCTAAAAATCCGCCGGGGAACCGTACCCACGACCTGACCCCGACTCCGCGGCCGTGCAACGCGAGGGACAAGGGGAAGCTCGCCGCTTGCCATGTGTGCGCACTTCTCCCTCGCCCAGGAACTCGTCAGCCGGCGGGGCCGCGGGCAGGGAGAAAGGCGAGCCCGGGGGGGGGGGGGGGGCCGGGCGGCCGCACCGCCCACCGCCGCCGGCACAGCCCCGCGGGGCTCTCACAAAGGAAAAGGGGGGGGGGGGGGGGAACGGGGCAGCCGCAGCCGCCGAGCACACGCCGCGGCGGAACAAAAGGCTCCGGTCCCGCCGCCCCCCGCCCGCCACGGCGGTGGGGGGGGGGGGGGGGGGGGAGGTAGGAGGTATGGGTATGGGCGCGCACACCTGCGCGGCCCCCCCCCCCCCCCCCCTCCTCTCCGCCCGGTGGCGGGAGGGGCCGGGGAGCCCCGGTACCTGCGGCGGGGTGGGCAGCCGGAGGAAGGAGGGGGGTCTGTCTGTCCGTCCGTCCCCCGCCCTGCCAAAAGACGGCGGGAAGGCCCCGCGCACGACGCGGGAGGCGCTGCCCCGCGGCAGCCCTTTGTGCGCGCCCCCCCCCCCCACACACAGAGACACACGCACACGCTCCCCTCACACCGCACCCCCCGCGTTACCGTGGTGAGCAACGGTCTCATCTGCTCGCCCGCCCGCTCCTCTTCCATCGCGGCTCCGCGCCCAGAAACACACGAGAGATGGAGGCGGCTGGCGGGCCGGGGGCCGAGCCGAGCCGAGCCGAGCCGAGCCGAGCAGCGGGGCGGGAGGCGGCCGGCGCTGGCGCCCTCAGGACCGGGCAGCCGCGACTGCTCCTCCGCGCCGGGGGCCGGGCCCAGACCGACTCGGCGCGCCCGCCCCCGCGCCCGACCGGCAGCGCCGCCAGCCAATGGGAGGCAGGGCAGCGCCCGGCGCGTCGGCGGCCGCCGTCCCCGAGTGGGGCGGGGGGCGGGAGGCGGGGGGGGGAGCCGGCCCCCACGCGGAGCCGCGTGGCGTGGGGCTGCCGCTGCCCTCGCCGCGGCGTGGGCTGCCCGGGGCCGCGGCGGGACGGCGAGCTGCCCCCCGCCCCGCTTCCCCGAGGGGGAGGCTGAAGTGCCGGGGCTGGCGGGGGGCGCTGCCGGTGGCTGCTCGACGCTCGCCCCGCACGACACCCTCGCTGGGAACGCCTGCCAGGCTGTGTACCACGCAAGCTGAAATTTTCCACGCCAGGTGCCTGCCTCGGGCTAATTCTATTTTTTTTTTTTTTCCTTCAGAAAAAAAAAAAAAGTAACCAAAAGAATTCGGTCATTTCCAAAAATAATATTATTCGCCCTTGTATAAATATTCCAACAATCCTTTATTCAAAAGGGGGGGGGGGTGGTGGTGTCATGTCATAATGTCAAGGTTGTGCTTTTGGCTGCCTCTGTAAATCTTCCCTCCAGTAAAAGTTTTTAGAAAGAAGCAGTTGTTTACGCTTGTCTAGGAGAGATAACTTTTGCCCTATCTGCCTCTCTAGAAGATTACACCCTCCTCCTCGGACGCAGTCCTAAGCCACCTCGCGCTGCTGGGACTGAACATGCACACACACACACACAGAGCAGATGATCCATCCCTTCATGCTTCTGATGTTTGATAACGTCCTTACAGCACCCTGGGGCTTCTAACTACACCCTCCATGGGGAGGAGGGCTAGAGTTGTACGCTGCGTTTCCTTTTTCCCCCTTGAAACCCTGACTAGAAGGCAGCGGTTATTTGCCCAGGACCTCTGGACCGTGCTGGTAATTAAGTTCTGATACTGTAAATGCAACGAGTTGCCGTGCACCAGCGGGGCAGAGGTGCCACGCAGCTCCACACCATGGGCAATGCAGCCGATGCCCTGGATTGCTTTCGGGATGCTTTGGGCTTAATTCATTACACACAGCATGTGAACTTTGAAGGGCTCGCAAGCGTCGGGAGGAAAGTACCAGCGGCTTCACTGCAGGCCCAGTCCTGGTTTGTCTTCTGAAAGTCTCCAAGTCTGGATGGGTCACTTGAAGAGAGGCACGGAGACTTCAGGCTCAGGCTGGGGACCCAGGAGCTGCAGTGTGACAGGGAAGGCGGGCTGACCGACGCAGGTGCAACATGGCCAGGAAAGACCGAGGCAAGGGAATCAGAATTAGACTGGGTCTCCAACAAGCCCTCTCAAATGGAGGTAAGAGAGCTGCTGGTCTTATCGGCAGGTTCAGAAGCAGCAACTGAAAGGAATGCATGCATCAGCAAACACCACACTGGACAAAGAACACTATAAAAGGAGGCTCTGAGAGCCCACGGACAAAAATGTAAAACTGGCTGTAGAGGCAAACCAGGCCTCTCCTGCTGCCTACCAGCAGAAGGCTTAGCACCGCGTCAGAGACCCGCTGGCTTTGGAGGCTGGCCACAGGGTAGCAAAAGACTCTGAACTTCTGCCTGGGCTTGGGCAAGAAGAGCCGATTGCTTGGCGACCAGCAGTCCCCTCTCTGCTTTTCAGGAAAGGCACGGGCAGAGGCAGATCAGCCTGCAGATGGAAATAGTTCACTGTTTCTCTGAACAGAAGCAGATGTCCTGGAAGGAACAGCAGGTGCATGCACTGTTGGATGGCACTGGGCACAAACGCAATCCTGGCTGTAAGGCCAGAGCTCCTGACCCGTGCAACTTGGAGGAAGCTTTCAAATGAATGACTTGGCACGGGTCTACACCAGGTCACTATAACCTGTACTTTGAGGAACGTATCATTAGGGTAAGCTACACCTGTCTAGTTGTACTGAGGAGATGAAGTAAGGCAAGCTGTGTGGAACTGATTGAACGGGGAGAAATCCTAAAGCACTCTCCAGTCAAAGAGTATGACCTGGATCAGGTCTCAGCTGAGTTTGAACAAAGGAGAGACGGAAGTAAAGCACTGTGCAAAACCACCACAAGAAGAATAAACTTGATATCAAGTGCCTTGATACACCTGCAGTATAACTGTGACCTATCCTGTGCTTTCCTCTTCCACAAACAGGGCTGGCAGAGTTTCAACTCAGATAAACCACTGAAAATGATCTTGCACTAGACAGCATAGGTGTAATGGGGACAGATTGTAACATCAAGTCCCACATAATTAGTGCTAAATAGGTGGCTTAGAACGCAGATCACAAAAGTCCTTTGATATTGGGATGAACACAACCCAACTTCACGAGCCCAGAACTTCTCCATTTTCTGGGGACTCAGCCCTGAGCACAGTAATATCTAAAGTGAGGACTTCCTGTAATGTGCAGTAAACTACCGTATTTGGTGAGGTTCCTTAGGGGACAACAGATAGAGTGTTTCCAGAAACTCAGACAGAGTGAGAAGAATGTTTAGTCCATCAAAAAGGAGCCTACTGACATGAATGTCAGTTAGGTTTTGGCATTCAGGGATGTTCCTGTTCCATTATACTCTTGATCTCTGAAGAGGGATCTCTGAGGAGATGCTCTAGCACTCTTGCCCTGGCATCAGAAAATACCCAATAGACAAGTCACAGTAGGGCAGTAGGGCCCAGCATTCATTCATCACACTTCCTTTGGCACACTATACTGAGAACAATATCTCCGGGTGAACACCCAGTCATTTGCTGAGCTGAAAAACTTGTTTGCTCACTGCATTCCATCTGGTCAGTGTATGTATAACTATAGCAGAAAAGGCCAACCTGGCTTCCCCATGCCATGCTGCTTGAGAGAAGATGCCTCTGTTCACAAGTTGACCAGAACTTCATTATGTTCAAAACCTTCCTTTTCCAAAAGCCATCACTGAAATAGAAACAGGCCAGCTTTGTGCATAGGAGCATAAGTGCAGCCGTCCCTGACACACCAGATGACATGTGAAAGGACATGGATAGGGCTCGTGTGGCACTGAAGAAGTGGATCATCAGCATTTTTAATATAATATACCTGGTCCACCAAGAGTGGCCTGATGGTGCTTTTCCTCCACTCCTCTTCCTCCCTTTCTTCCCCTCTACCTACCCTGACATTTTTGGACATGGATGGAAGAGGCAGAAATTATTGGATAAGCCAGATCTCCGATGAGAATCACAGAATGGTTTGGGTTGGAAGGCACCTTAAAGATCATGTAGTCCCAATCCCCCTGTCCTGGGCAGGGCTCCCTTACCCCAGCCCAGGGGGCTCCCAGCCCCGTCCAACCTGGCCTTGAACCCTTCCAGGGAGGGGGCAGCCACAGCTGCTCTGGGCACCCTGGGCCAGCGCCTCACCCCCCGCACAGGGAACAATTTCTTCCTTATATCTAATCTAAATGTACCCTCTTTCAGTTTAAAAAACTGAACCCCGGAGCCTTCTCTTCTCCAGGCTGAACCCCCCCAACTCTCTCAGACCGGCCCCCCAGGGGAGCTGCTCCAGCCCCCCCAGCATCTCCGTGGCCTCCTCTGGCCCCGCTCAAGCAGCTCCGTGTCCTTCTGCTGTTGGGGGCCCCCGAGCTGCCCCCAGCACTGCAGGGGGGTCTCCCCAGAGCGGAGCAGAGGGGGAGAATCCCCTCCCTGGCCCTGCTGCCCCCCCTGCTCTGGCTGCAGCCCAGGACACGGGTGGGTTCTGGGCTGCCAGCGCACGGGGCTGCCTCACGGGCAGTTTTCCCCCCACCAGCACCCCCAAGTCCTTCTCCTCAGGGCTGCTCCCCATCCCCTCCTCGCCCAGCCTGGGTCTGTGCTGGGGGTTGCCCCGACCCACGGGCAGGACCTTGCCCTTGGCCTTGTTGAACCCCACGAGGTTTGCCCGGGCCCCCCTCCCCAGCCTGCCCAGGTCCCTCGGGATGCCACCCCTGCCCTCCCGCGTGTCCCCCACCACACAGCTCGGGGCCATCGGGGAACTTGCTGAGGGGGCATCGATCCCACTGGCCGTGTCTCCAGCAAAGATGTTACACAGCACCAGTCCCAACACCGACCCCTGAGGAACGCCACTCATCACTGCTCTCCACCTGGACATCGAGCCATTGACTGTAACTCTTTGAGTGTGACCATCCAGCCAATTCCTTATCCACCAAGTGGCCCATCCATCAAATCCATGTCTCTCCAATTTAGAGACAAGGATGTTGTGCAGAATAGTGTCAAAAGCTTTGCACAAGTTCAGGTAGATAACGTCAGTTGCTCTTCCTTTATCCACTAATGCTGTAACCCCATCATAGAAGGCCACCAAATTTGTCAGGCATGATTTGCCCTTAGTGAAACCATGTTGGCTGTCACCAATCACCTCCTTATTTTCCATGTGCCCTAGCATTGTTTGCAGGAGGATCCACTCAGTGACCTTGCTGGGCACAGAGGTGAGACTGACTGGCCTGGAGTTCCCAGGTCTTCCTTTTTTCCCTTTTTAAAAATGGGGGGTTATGTTTCCCCTTTTCCAGTCAGCGGGAACTTTACCAGACTGCCACAGTTTCTCAAATGTAATGAATAGTGGCTTAGCCATTTCATCTGCCAGTCCCCTCAGGATCCATGGATGCACCTCATCAGGTCCCGTGGACTTGTGCACCTACAGGTTCCTGAGAAGGTCTCAAACCTGATCTCCTCCTATGATGGGCAGTTCTTCGTTCATTCAGTCCCTGCCTTTGCCTTCTGCATCTTGGGCAGTGTGACTGTAGCACTTGCCAGTGAAGGCTGATGCAAAAAAGTAACTGAGTACCTCAGCCTGCTCCATATCTTGGTAACCAGGTCTACCATTTCCTTCCAGAGAGGGCCCATGTTTTCCCTACTCTTCCTTTTATCACTGATGTATCTGTAAAAGTTTTTCTTGTTGCCCTTGACATCCCTGGCCAGATATAATTCCATCAGGACTTTGGCCTTCCTAACCTGATGCCTGGCTGCTCAGACTATTTCT